CAGGGGGCGATGCGCCATACGCGTACGCGTCGGGCATCGAGCATACTCGGTAGAGAGATGGCTTGCGGAGCGTGCTTGTTGGCTTGGCATATCCGGCGGACGACATGCTCTCTCGTGTGCCATCGGGGCGCGTAATTTGCTCGTAGAGAGCCTCGTGCTCCTTGTTTTTGCCCACAGCAGCTGGAGAAGCGTAGACCACAGAGTCTCGTCCAACTGATTTCGGGTGCAAGCTAGAAGCAACAAGCAGAGTCACGGTACAAGTGAATGGCACAACACATCAACTCACACAATCCCTCCCCAATCTCACTGTCGCTGTGCTACTCACTCATCATACGCAGGATCCATTGACTGCAGCGCAATATTCTCAGAGGGACGTGTGGTGCGACCTTGGGTGCCAAGGTTCGATGAAGAAACAGAAGCTGTGAAGAGCGGGTTGTGAACCGATTCGACTTGTGCTGGCTCGTTGGAACGGTGATCGTACTGGTGCTTGCGCTTTGCCTGCCGTTTCCGATACAGAACGACCAACACCAAAATTACAATACAGAGGACAACAACGCCAGCACCAGCGCCTGCAGCGATAGGAATGGCGCTTGAGCTGCTGCTTTTGTCTGCGTTCGGATCGCCAGGAACAATGAACGCGCGTGTAGTGTGTGCTGAGGCTGAGCTTGATCGGTGCGCTGTCGAGCTCAATCGGGAAGAAGCAGAGCTCGAGAGCGGATTGGAGGAGGGAGGATTCACAACGCTCGAAGGTGCGACAGGTGATGAGACACCGGGCTCCGTATTAGAGGACGAGACATCGAGCTCCGAGCTCGCGTCAGAAGTATGTGCAACAAGGTTTTCGATCGATGCGACAGAGGCAGAAGACTCGCTTGCTGCTTTGGCAGACAATGACGCGATCGAAGCCAGACTGGTTGCGGCTTTCGATGCAAACGATGCACCCGAAGCCAGGCTCGTGGAAGCGGCGGTTGCAGCCAAAGCCAGACTGGTGGAAGCGGCTCTCGCGGCAGAAGAAGCGACTGATGCCACGCTGGTTGAAGCTTTCGAAGCCGCAGTTGCAGCCAAAGCAAACGAAGCCAGGCTGGTGGAAGCGGCACTTGCAGCCGAAGCAGATTCGCGTGCAGCACATCCAGGACTACCGAAATTTGATCCTTCTGTCGACGCCACAGGGGTCGTAGCAAGAACCCACGAGTTTGGCAAAGCCGGGTCCAAAGTAGGATGCCGAAGCTGGAACGCTTTGCCAT